CATTTGTTTCTCTATATTAACCATCCAGTTCATTCGAGTGTACACCATCTATCGGGGACTTATAACTCCTAATCAAACATAACATATTTACTCATACTCACGCATATCTGTTCTCATTTCTCAATAATTCCTCAGGTTCTAAATCTCTCATCTTGATGAAGTTTATTCACCAAGTCCACTTGTACATATTATACTATACATTTATTTGGAAGTTTCACCAATGCCATCTTCATACTATAGACTCATCTCAATTATATATATATATATTTATTATTCATAGTATTACAAGGTTCACCCATGCAATACCGTACATATCATAGATTTGTTTGCAACTTTCACTTATAACACAATTTTATAACTTTTATCAAAAGTAAGACAAACTATTTAAGTCTGTTTTCCTTAAGTCCTATAATCTTCATATTTTACTTACTGCCATCTCTTGTCCATGGAGCAGTCAATACTGTAGCCACAACATCAGTCTAAGGACTTACATTCGGTGCTTCAGGGTTGCCATGCAGGCTTCTTACGATGACTACGCATGTAACACAAAGGAATGGGTTGATCAGACCCACACTAAGGAATCACATATGCAGTAATTGATAAGAATCTACATACAACTACGCAACACATAACACAACTATACATTATCAGAGTTCCCTAACAAAACTGATCTGATACCATAAAATGTAACATCCCGTTACGTACCGGTATTGTTAACATTAATTATGATATTAAGCGCAGTTACAATCACAGCAATTCATTTATAAAAATGCGAATAAACTTTTTCCGGTTATTACGCGAGCATTTAAAATAATAAAATGCGTAATAATTAAAAGTTGTGACTATAACTGTTAACTCTTGCGGAATATTTAATTTAACTATTAATACATTACACTTTACTGATTATAAGTTACTAAGGGGTTCCCTTAGCCAATTTCTAAACTTTACGTTTTCACCTATTCGAACATGGTTCACTCCTAAATTTTCTGCGAACACACCGCTCGCAACCAAACCTTCTTCTCAGATTATATCTTTTTTTTACTTAATTCCCTTTTCAACAAGCTATCACACGCTCAATTCGGAGCTCATTTGCTCCGGTTATCGCCGTTTGAAGTTGGATAAGCAAAATAGCCAACCAACCCCAAAACAGCTCTAAACCTCTCTCACTCCACGAATTACTGCACTCAATCCGCTCATTCAAATGCTCTCAAATTTTTACACCATAAACTAGACACCTCAATATTCTATTTGATATATCATACGCTTAATTTGACTGAGAAAGGAAGTAGGAATTAAATTCCCAAAACTGGACCAGAACTGCCACAGATGCAGTGGGCACATGAGCAGTCTGCGTTCCTCCAATTTTTCCAGGTCGAAGACCAACCCAGATTTTCCCCAAATTTTGACACAAGGTAGAGGACATCTCAACCTTCAAAATGGCGTATGGCACGTCCCTATTGGACCTCTATGAAGGGAGATATGCTCTCCCGAAGTTCGCCTAAAATCTGCCAATTCTACAGAAAATTCGCCAGAGTTTCCTTTGTTTTTCCAATAATCCCAAATTTGTACAAAATCATTTAAGCCTCAAAGGTACCTAATAATCACATGATAATACAGTAATAATCCAATGGGTGGCACACACAAGGACCAACAACGCCTTGTGGCACTTACAACCCAATCCAGTGTATAGTTATTAAACATATAGCTCATATTAATCAATCACTCTTAAGTAGTTGCAATCACTAACACCTTTTTCATGCATATTTTCATCATACATATCATCATAACCTAAATTAGGCCTAAGGCCCTTCCATAATAAATAGACATGCATCAAATACGATTATAATATTGCTTTACAACTTACAACTCCAAATGAAACTTAATTACAATCTTCCAATATTACAACATAATACAAATGGTAAATAAACTACATGGCATGACCACTAGACTTAGGCAAAATGACATGAACAAAACGCTAATGAAGCTCCTACTAAAATACAAATGAGATGTTCATGCCCTAAGTCTAGCCTAGGCCACATGGCCAACAAAATGCAAAAAGGCTAAAACTCCACTGAATCACTCTGCGGGCCTCTTGCCCGCTGCTCCCGCTCCACTGCTACCTCCTGAAATAAATGCCCCGAGACGGGGTGAGATATACGAATATATCTCAGTAACCCAGAGGTTCTGGAGAAAAATCTGTCCAATGGTTCACTTCGATGCATATGAATAGAATACAACAATCAATTTTTAAAACGGGATATAGCAAGGGTTTTAGAGAAAGCGGGATATAGAGATACAAACTACGACGATACGGGATGGTAACCCCAGTTCCACGTACGCCCTGGGCATATATAAGCCTATGGGTATCATCCAAGGTACGTTCAGAAAACCATAACCATGATGCCCCAACCATCCAAAACGCCAAAGACATTCGTAGTGTTCTCCTACCCGGATCACACACCATGACCCACGGTCAACTGGAACTCCCTCTCGGAGACCTATCCAGCGAAAGTCCGAAACTGCCCGAAGGCTAAGAAAACTGTCTACTGGCCAGAGACTCGGTACCTAAGTACCCATTGTAATAATGCATGCATGCTCATGTGTTCTACACTACTCATATACACTTCCTACTGTTGCCATCAACTGGCAAGGTGGAACAGAAAAGGGGAACAAGCCCCAGTACCAAGAGGTTACCTTAAATGTTGTTTTCACAAGCTCCGCAGCAGCTTATCCCTCAACTTGGTACACAACAGAATGCCTACACAGAGGACATTCCCAATCACTTATAGTTCAACCAATACATGCTAATTTGCAATTATGCATGCATTGAACCAATTACTTACCTCAATCCTCTTGGTCCCGGACCAAGGGCAGCTCACTGATTCAAGATTCCGGATTCAGGTCGACGTACGGAAACCTATACAATGACGTACAATCATCAGTACGCGTCAAATAACGTCAAAACGTCAAAAATCACAAAATCTCCCCATCCTCCCTTGATGGTTCGGCCAAATAAGTGTTAATTTGAGATTTATTTTTCTAAATTTTCTTTCCCATTTTATTACGGCTCACTAAGTTGTCAAGAGGCCAATTCAAGTGTCGTTTCGTCATTTTCGCGTCGAATTACATCAGAACGCGAAAACCACAAAATTCCTCCCCACCCCCTTGGTGGTTCGGCCAAACATGTGTTAATTGGAGATTTATTTTTCTAAATTTTCTTTCTCATTTTAGTACCCATCCTTGGGTTGCCATAAGGCCATTTCAAGTGTCGTTTCGCCGTTTTACGTCTTTTAAGCATCGTTTCGCTAAATAGTTCGCTCTAGGTTCATTTATGTCCCTAAACACAAGTTATTATTTTCCATTGATTCTAACACTTTCCAACCACCACACAACCCATCTAATCACCATATAATTACACAAAACATCACCCAAATAATTTTTCAACATCAATTCCCCTCTTTCCACTCAATGGCTGAATTGCAACCTATGGCACTCCGAGGGATTTTCAATCAATTTTAACCATTTCCCACCTCCTATCATCCTATTATATCATCATACAATCATACAACAACTCATTAATTAATTCCCAACAAAATTCCAAAACTCAAATTTATGACATTCCTCAAAATTTCTAAGTTAAATTTTCATAATTTTCATCAATAATTTTCATGGCATTTCTAGCTCTCACACATCATTCTAAAACATTATCATCTAATACACATTTTCCAATTGAGCTCTCTAACAACACAAATCATCAAATTCCCCCTTAGGGTTCATGAATTCAATCCAAGGATTAAACCATTAAAATGGTGAAGAAACTTACTCAAAAGCTTGGCACAAGACTCCTCCAAGCTATCCTAAACCATTGGAGCTCCAAACAACTCCATGAACATCATTTTTCTCCAAATTTTCGTGGCTGTAAATGGCCAATATCTCACCAAAGAGAGAGTTTCAAGGCTCAAGAGTGGTACCAATGTGTTTAGAAGGTGATTTCCATCAAGATTCAAGACAAAAATCGTTGGATTCGGTGGAGAAACGGCTAAGTTATGGATCAAAGAAAATTTTCATGAAGAATGGGGGGAAGGAGGGCTGCTGTCGGTTTTGAAGAGAGAGAATGAAGTGAGGAGATGATGAATAGTAAGAAGGTGATGTGGACTTAAGTGGTTTTAAGTGGGGTGGGTCCCACGCCACCTCACGCGATCAAAAACTCGTCCGAACTTTCATTAAACGTCCGTAAATTCAAAACCTATTTAGAAATTCTAATTTTTAACATTAACTAACCTCCTTTAATTATACTTGATCGGATGAATTCAGAGTCCTCCATTCGTTCGGAGAAGACATTGTTTTAAGCTATTGCACGCGTCGTTGGCATGCTTCCCCAAAATGACTTAGTTTCATCAGATTTTATCAACAATCATATTTCCTAACTTAATAGACCATTTATAACTCATATTTGAAACCTAGAGCTCAAAATTCGACTGGCATGTTTTACGGTGCAATCGTAGCGCGGTATTTTTACCCGCGAAAAACACTATTCACTGATTTTTCTGAAACTTGCCTATCCACTCAATTTTTCATTCTGGATCCATTTCCAGGGTTATTTTTATCATCTGAGACCTTCTACTCAATTTTTATCTTCCTAGGGTTGCGTGTTGGCTAATTACCGTTTTGTCCTTTCTTTGTATTTTGGCCTAATCTTTAGGATTTTCACTGAATCTCCACTTAATTACACACTTAATAGTTTAAACACTTAATTTAAAATTGTGAGGTGTTATAGAAATATTGTCGATCTCCTCATGACTTCCACCCACTAAACCCCCCACAAAGACATATCCCAATGCCCCGGCCCTCAAAGCCTTTCTAACCTGCAACACAGATAGATATGAGGAAGAACTAGTAGCAGAATCATCAGCAGAAAGCACAATCCTTTTTCCACAGCAGTCTATCATAGCACAGTTCTTTGATAGCCAATCCATTCCCAAGATAACTTGAAGGCTGACCATAGGCAAACAGATAAAATCCAGCACGTAACCTCGGCCTTCGTATTTAAACTCAACATCCTTACATAAAACTGATGTATAACACTCCTCTCCAGTAGCAGTCACCACTTTCATAGGAGGAGAAATGTCGTACATTTGCAGATTTAGCCCAACGGCCATAAAATCAGACATACAGAAGTGTGTAGCTCTTGAGTCAAACAAGACTTCTATATCCATATTATCAATATAAATTGTACCTTTTATAAGGTTTGGGGCCTTCTCTGATTGCTGACGGTCCATGGTATACACTCTACCAACTGTCTGGCATTCTATCATAGGTGGAACAGTTGAGACAGGAACAACAGTAGCTTGAACTGTCATAGTCTTCACTTCATACTGAGGACACTGCCTGGAGTAGTGGCCGAACTTTCCACACTTATAGCAAATAACCTCACCCGTAACACACGGACCCCTATGCTCCTTTCCACATCCTTTACACTTGGGAGGAGATCCTCTATCAACAAAATTCTTTTGAGTTCCGGGCTTTTTGAATAAGTCGAATGGATTCTTCACATTCAACTTCTTGTCTTTCATCTTCTTGTTCTTCCAATAACCTGAGCCCGTTGCTTTATTGGCATTAGGTGCCTGGGCCTCAGAGGACTTCTTGGTCTAGGACCCCTTGTACACTTCTTCTACCTTCCTACACTGATTAACAAACCTGCTGAACTCTCGGATGTCACAATTTGACATCTTCCGAGAGATCTTCTCATTCAGACCCAATTGGAACTTGGAGGTCATCTTAGCTGGAGTAGGTAGGGCTCGCCCATAGTTGGCGTATTTCACCAACTTATTGAATTTAGCAAAGTATTGGTCAATTGACATCGACCCTTGCTTTAGGTCATTGTACTCATTCTGCTTCTGTTCCCTAGCCTCCCTAGGGAAGTAGTTATCCAAGAACAACGTCTCGAACAACCGCCAGGTGATTTCCCGGCCTTCAGCTTCTAGGGGCTGCACGGTATTAGTCCACCAAACCTCAGCTTCCTCTTCCAGCATATACACGGAGTAGACCAACTTCATTGCATCAGGGCATCTCATCACCCTGAAGATTTTCTCCATAGCCTGGAGCCACTTTGCTGCCGCCAATGGTTCATATCCTCCCTTGAAAGAAGGAGGTTTGTGTTTTCGGAAAGCCGTCAATCTCCTCTCTTCCGCTTCATGTTCATCAACATGCTCTACACGTGGTTGACGAACTTCTATGTGATGACTGTGGCTTCCAGAAGGATGACTAGCTTCACCTTCATTGTTACCCGCTACACCCTCTTCCTGTGAAGGAGGAGGAGAAGGCGTAGCAGTGTGAGGAGGAGGAGTGGGTTGTCGGTTCACGGGCCTAGCACCCCTCAACATCCTCAACTCGGTCATCATCGCGGCCATAGCATTCCGCGAGTCTTCATTTGTTTTTAACAGATTTTCATTGGCTTGTCTGCTAGCAGCCAACTCCCTCTGAACGGCTGCAAGAGTTTCAGCCACGGGATCAGGCTACCCGCCCGTTGCCCCACGGCCACTTCTGGACCTCACAAGAGCAGCCAAAACAGGTTCTGGCTGAGCATTGGTGTTTGATGGTCCGGGGTTGTTTCGGTTCCTCGTCATGTCACTGCACATGTTACACAAAGAAATGAGTAGATCAGGCTCACACTCAGTGATCACAAATGCAATATTCATAAAGAGTACCAAAGCAACTATAAAGCATTAAACACCAAACATATATAACAATGATCCACAAGTTTCCCTAAGAAACTGCTCTGATACCATAAAATGTAACACCCCGTTCTAGAACCGGTTTGTTAACATCGCATTATGATATTTAGCGTAGTTACAATCACATGGGTTCAATTAAAATCCGGTTAAATTTTTTATTTTAAAACATGCCGAATTTATAATGTCCAATTGCGTGATCATAACCATATTATATTGTGGAATAAAATAAATTAAGCTTAATATCATACTCTTATCCTTAGGCCAAATGTTGTTAAAGGTCTTCCTCTATTCATTAGCTATGCGTGGTTTCGGACCGCGCCTCATTTGGAGCACTGTAGCTCGCGTTATGACAAATTAGAGCAACATAAGTGTGTGTTGGACATAGGCCCCGTGCGCTTTAGCACGCTATTGGGCACTCAAGCGCGCGTTATCGGGCGCTAAAGCCTCCATCAAGGCGCTTAAGCACACGGAGGCCGAGAACATCAGGTTTTTCAGCATCGATGGGCGCTTAAGCGCTCACCAGGGCGCTCAAGCGCGCTATCCTGGGCGCGTAAGCCCCCATTTGGGCGCTCCAACGCGCAGAGGCAGAGGGCATCTCTTCTTTCCGCAGCTAAGGGCGCTTAAGCGCGAACCAGGGCGCTCAAGCGCGCAATCCTGGGTGTTTAAGGCCCCACTTTGGGCGCTCCAGCGCGCGGAGGCAGAGAGCATGGGCTCTCACAGGGGCAGCAGGGCGCTTGAGCGCGCTCCTGGGCGCTTGAGCGCGCTGCCAAGGAACTCCAACACCCTCATTTTTCAAGTCTAATTCTAGGGAAGGTGCATTTCCATTTTACAAGCCAAACTTGTTCAATCATCTCAACTTAACCCTAGCACTTTTCCAACCTCTCCTCATGGCTTATACTAAAATTTGGGCAGCATAACCTTTGTTTTCTCAACATTTCCCAATTTAGCACTAGGTACCTAATTTAGTTTCTAGCTCAACAATCCGATACATAAAGAGCATGCATATATTAACTTAAAGTAATCATCAATTACAGATCATGTTTATTACAAATCCTGGAACTTAGCTTACAAAACACTATGATCACTCCCTTGACTCCCATCAACAAAAGAGATAACCAAAGACATGAGCATAGGCTAAGTCCATTCCAAATAAACAGAATGTACATCTATCAATTGGCTATCAATTAACCATACTATACATGTGAACTACAAAATGACATGTATAATAGCAAAAGACAGGATCCTCATACATCACTACTAGTCCAAGTATGGCCACTTGTCACTGGTGGCTCCTGTAGCATCCTTACCTGAAAGGGGGTCCCCACAACACGGGGTGAGATATACAAATATGTCCAGTAAACCAGGGGTCCTTGGAGCATCTCTCCACCCCCATAGTTCCAAATACAGTGTAATAGCAATAACAATAATAATGCAGTAAATACATATCTATGCAAAGTTTAAACAACATCTCCAGGAGAAATTCATCGAGCTCTCAAGTTGTCCTAAGGATACTCATATGCAAATAGTCCTACTGGCCAGCTAAACTACTAAGTATGAATTACGCATCGTCATGCAACATACCAACATAGGGAAACACCATCCTATTCCACACCAAATGAATACACATACGTATAACAAAGCATTACACTATTTTATTGCATTTATATACACTATCAACAACCACTACCCTTTCAGGGCTTGGTGGAACAATCAAGGGAATTACACCCAAGGTCCGAAGGCTTACCTCAAGCTTTTGTCAACCTATGTTCACCACCAACAGGTTCAACAACCAATCAACTTTGGTTTCAACAATGACTTACAAGTAACACACCTACACCAAGGTGCCATAGCATCAATCATACTATCCAATGAATATTTACATATATCTATTACTACCACATCAACTGTACATTTTAACTTAGCATGAGCTTACCTATTCCAAGAGCTAAGCCAGCTCCATAGCTTGCTCTAATGGCTGCTCACTCACGGTTGGTCCAAATGCCTCAATCCTAGACATCACATGGACACAATAATTATTCAACCAACCAATGATCATAATTGCAAGAACATAGCTAATCTACTCACATTATTTAAAAACCCCAAAACACTATTCATACCAAACCCTAACCATGAAATTTCCAAGGAAACAAGGTATAAGGGTTAGAATCTTACCACCAATGGTTACACAACCAAGGATTGATGGCTCCTCTAGCTTCAATGGAGGTTGAAGCTCCCAAAACCCCAAACTTTCACAAAGGGGCGAAACTTTGAGGGACAAAATCTCACCACACAAAGCTCCCATCTATGAACCAAGCTTAGATTAATGATGAGGGCGAGATTCTAAGTGATTTAGGCTTTTGAATCGCTCCAATCGGTTGAGAATAGCTCCCCTAGGTTTTCTCTCTCTCTTTTCCTCTCCTTCTTCTTCTTCTTCTCTTCCTTCTTCTTCTTTTTGGCGACGTGAAAAAGGGAGGGGCAATGGTTTCATTTTTTGTTTTATACACTTAACATATGTTAAGTGGAATAATGCGGGTATTGGTTCATCTATCTATTCAACTCCATTAATTACCAAACTTTACCCAAAAGTCTGGAATATTTTTCTAGGAATATTTACAATTTTATTTTTATATTTTGGGTACTTTTGCCTCCACCCATTTATACCCCTTAATTTTCACAGAGTACACTTTTTACCTCCAAAGTGACTCCAATTCATTTAATTAAGTCTTATACTTAATTTTACTCACTAATACATGCTTAATTATTTAATTACATGTAATTTACTAATTAATTAGGTTAGGGCTATTATAGTAGGCAAGTTTCAGAAAAATCAGTGAATAGTGTTTTTACCGGGTAAAAATATCGCGGTACAATTGCACCGTAAAACGTGCCGATTGAGTTCTGAGTTCTAGGTTTCAAATATGAGTTATAAATGGTCTATAGAACTAGGAAATATGATCTCTGATAATATTTGATGGAATTAAGTTAGTTTAGGGAAGCGTGCCAACGGCGCGCGCAACAGTATAAAACAGCAATTTCTCCGAACGACCGGAAAACTCCAGATTCATCTGATCAAGTATAATTAAAAGACAATGGTTAATGTTAAAAATTAGAGTTTCTAAATTGGTTGTGAATTTACGGACGTTTAGTGGAATCGGAGAAAAATTCGGATTAGTTTTAAATTGCGTGAGGTGGCGGTGGGACCCACCCCACTTAAGTGACTTAAGCCACATGTGCTTGGCACTATTCATGCATCACTTTCCTCCCTTCTTCTTGTTCAAACCCGCAGCCACCATAGCCATTCCCCTCCAAGATTTCACTTCACCATAACTTTGCCATTTCTTCACCAAATCCATTGGTTCTTGTCTTGAAATTTGATGAAAATGGCCTTCTAAACCCATTGGTGGTACTCCCAAGCCTTGAAAGCCACTAGATTTTGAGAAAAACCTTCCCCAAAGCCGCGACCCTTTCCTTTAGATTTGTGAAAATGGTGTTGATTGATGCTCCAATGGTTGAGTATGTTTAGGAGGAGCCTTGTGCCAAGCTTTTGGGTGAGTTTCCTTGTTTTCCAATGGTTTAATTTTGTGGTTGAATTTATGAACCCTAAAGAGGGCTTGTTGGATTGGTGTGTTTAGAGAGCTCAATTGGAAAATGTTTGTACATGAATGTGTCTTAGAATGATGTGTAGTAGCCATAAATGCAATAAAAATTATTGATGAAAAATGTGAATTTTTAACTTAGAAATTTTTGAGGTTTTCATGACTTTAAGTTTTGAAAATGTGTTAGGATTGGATTGATGAATTGTTGTATGATTGTATGTTGATATAATAGGATTGTATGAG